GTGGCTGCAGAGTAAGTGACAGCAAGCTAGACTAGGTACGGTATACAGTTAGCAAGTCAAGTGCAGCGACGGAAGATAGGGAGACTTTTACAAAAAAGTAACGGATATTTTGTCCAGAAGGAGCGGAGCATGGACTTCATTTAAAGGTAAAGGTAAGACTGCAATAACTTAAAAAAAAAAATTAAAAAAAAACAGCTTGTATGTGTAAAGAATGCAGATATGAAACATAACCCGTAAACTACTGCCAATTAAATGGCAAATATGTTGCTGTGTAGAGTGCAGATATTTGTAGATCAGATTGTGATGAAGTCAGTGCCTCACCAGCCATGAACCTCACCGCACGTCACTGGTCTACGCAACTGACATGATGATACGTATGACGAAAGCATGCAAGTGCAAGCCCTCCCGGAACCCACAGACATTGCATTATAGCGTCTGCCACTTCAAAAAAAAAACAACTTTTACATTACAGTTAATGAGAGCGTTCGGGGTGATTTTCAGTCAGACTGAAATCGGGGGGTGGGACTCCAACCAGCAGGGCCTCACGCTGATTGGACAATGACATACAGGCAGGTCAAATTGTTCAGAAAGGTGTTAAGGATCCAAACGCAGGACTCAATAGCGGAAGGGAACAAAAATATTTGTTCACAAATATGTAAAATAAAACACAAAAACTCAGCAGAGCTAGAAAACCTGAAAACGAGACTGCAAAAATAGAAGCTCCCAACAGAAACAGGAAGACGAGACAAACACAAAAGTTTGACTTGACCCCAGAGTGAACCATGACAGCGTCGGCCTATCGCCCTTATGGACAAACCGCCTCTGGGTAGATCCACAATTGGAGTAAGTCACTCTGCAGTTGTTTAGGCATTATTTATTCAAACAAGTTTTACTCAAACTGTTTGACAAAACATAAAATGTTAAATGAAGCCAGCCAGAAGCTTTTCTAGCACTATTCAGCACCCACAGAAACATGTTTTAAAGTTACCTAGACGCTGGTTCTGTGTATAGAGTCATAATATACTTGCTGTTTTAGTATCACAATCAAAAATGTGCATGTTTTTTTTTTTTTTTTAAACTTACTTTTACTTACTTTCCTGTCAGAGCCGGAGAAATACAACAACAAAAGATGAGATACAGGAAAGCAATTTTGCTTTTA